AGTGCAGCTATGAATACTCTTATGGATATATTTGGTTTATATGTGCATGTTTTTCTGTTGAGTCAACTGTATGCATATTTTTAACTTTAGGAAATAATGCCAAACAGCTTTTCAAAGCACTTATACTGATTTACACTTTCACCAGCTGTCTATGACAGTTCTGGATGTTCACCAACACTCGGCTTTGTCAGTCTGTGCTGGATAACAAAGCATCCCCAAATTTGAAACAGGAATCATTGTCTTTCACAATTCTCTGGGTTCACAATTCCTCTGGGCAGGCACACTTCCTCTTTTTCGTGATTAATTATTTATTTTTGGTTGTGCTAGGTCTTCATTGCTACTCTTGGACTTCCTCTATTTGTGGCCAGTGGGGGCTACTCTTCGTTGTGGTGTGTGGGCTTCTCACTGTGGTGGTTCCTCCTGTTGCAGAGCACAGACGCTAGGTGCGCAGGCTTCAGGAGTTGCAGCTCAGGCTCAGTAGTTGTGGCGTCTGGGCCCAGAGCTTGCAGGCTTCAGCAGCTGGAGCTCAATAGTGAGGGCTCAGTCGTGTGGCCCACACGCTTAGTTGCTCTGCAGCATGTAGAACGTTCCCGGACCAAGGATCGAACCCATATCCTCTGCACTGGCAGGCAGATTCTTATCTACTGTACCACCAGGTAAGTCCTCTAATTCTTTTATAGGCTGGAGTCATTCATATGGTTGCATTTACCTAGGAGCTCAATTGGAACTGGAATACCTGAGTTGGCTTCATTCACACACCAGGTACTCTGACTTGGGTGGCTGAAAATCTAGGGGCTGGGTTCAACCTCTGTCCTTTCATGTGGTCTCTCTTCATTCAGTAATCTAGTCTAAGCTTATTTACATGGAAGCTACATCTCAAGATGCAAACAGAGAAAGCAAGTCTTAAGGCCTAGGACCAGAAGTCATTAACCATCACTTCTACAACATTCTAGTGGTTAAAATAAGACAGTGCTAGTTCAGATACAAGGGGAAGAAGGTCAATAAGACTCTACTTCTTGATGGAAGAACTGGGATGGGAGCAATTATTCTTGGCCATAGGTACAGACAGTATACGACATCCCACCCTCTGGTCATGATTCACATGCCTTTCACAAGCAGAATACAATTACCCCATCCCAGTACACCCAAAGTTTCATCCAAGTTCATCTAGATTGCTAAGATTTTTATTGTTGTTACGAACAGGAGTTGAAGCTTATCAAATGCACTTCTGGGGGAATTCCCTGGTGGTTCACTGGTTAGGGCTCTGTGCTTCCACTGCAGGGGCACAGTTTCGATTCCTGGTTGAGGAACTAAGATCCTGCATGCCACATGGAACAGCTGGAAAAAATGCACTTTCTGTATTTACTGAGATTTTTGTGATTTTCTCCTTTGTTTTATTGATGATAAGTACATTGATTTTGTAATATCAAACTAAATTTATGTTCCAAGAATCAGTCCAAATTGGTGGTGACATGTTAACTTTTTCATATATTGGCGTGTTGGGTGTTCTAATATTTTGATTAGGATTTTTGTTATAGGATTATGTTTACGATAATAAACCTATAATATTCCTCTCTTATATGGTCTTTGTTGGGTTTTGGTGTTAACGTTATGTTGACTTCATAGAAGAACTTGGAAATAATTCCCAATTTTCTATTCTCTTGAATAAGTTCAATTGATATTTTTTCCTTAAGTGTTTTGTAGGTACAAATATTGGCTCCAGGAGTAGGGTACTGCCATACAGGCATCAATATATTCCAAATTATGTGGCATTAACATCCAATATAGCAGCATGAACTTGTTCTTGGGAACTTGGACTGTTAGCAATCCATGTCACCAAAAAAATGTGTAGAACTATATTCTAGAATAGCTTAAAGGGCATATTATATACCTAATAAGCTTATACTTTATGCAAAGAGGTAGAAAATGACTTATTATAATGAGTCTGTTATTACTGGCTGCATTTGCCAAGGTACTACCAGAATTAAAGGAACTCAGAAGAAAAAATTTGTCTGGTTTGTAAGCAGGAATGAAAAGGAATTCAGAGACAACAAAAAAACTCAGATACCTGCATCTGAGTGGAGGTACAACTGAGTCGCACATTCAACCAGCAGAGAAGCAACAGAGAAATGCTCTGAGAAACAAAGGCTGCTTAAAACTCGGCATTGCAGCAAGACTGAGTCAAGAAGAAAATGGCTGTCACAGCACTATAGGATCTCTGAATGGAATAAGGTGGTACCCAGCATATACTTTCACAGCTGGGAGCATATCTCAAGAAGAGACTTAGAGTTTGGTTCTTCCCAAGGAAAGTCTGATTAGGCTCATAGTTGTTGTTCAGTGGCTAAGTTGTATCTGACTCTTTGAAACCCCATGAACTGTAGCACACTAGGCTTCCCCATCCTTCACTATCTCCCAGAGCTTGCTCAAACTCATGTCCATTGAGTCAGGGATGCCATCCAACCACCTCATCTTCTGTTGCCCCATTTTCCTCCTTTCTTCAGTCTTTCTCAGCATCAGGGTCTTTTCCAGTGAGTTGGCTCTTCACATCAGGTGGCCAAAGTATAGGAGTTTCAACTTCAGCATCAGTCCTTCCAGTGAATATTCAGGATTTATTTAATCTAGGATTGACTAGTTTGATCACCGAGTCTTCTTCAGCACCAAAGTTCGAAAGCATCAATTCTTCGGCCCTTAGCCTTCTTTACTGTCCAGCTCTCACATCTGTACATGACTACCAGAAAAACCATAGTTTTGACTATACAGAAAGACAGAGACAAGTCTCTAAACAGTTGTGAACATAGCACTGCCTGAATTCAAATAATTTTAAATAAATATTAAGAAATCAGTATTGTCAAAGGAGTCACCTACATGGTCTAAAAGAGAATGTGATTGAGACTAAAAAATGACAATTGAGATCCAGCATTCTACATCAGGATCTCAGAATGCTATGGATTAACTCTTTCATATACCATTCTTATCCTTTACAAATGGGAATACTTATTGAAGCTATCCTTTAATTGTTCTACCATTTTATATGTATCTTGTATGTACGGGGGCTTCCCAGGTGGATCAGTGGTAAAGAATCTGCCTGCAATGCTGGAGACCTGGGTTCTATCCCTGGCTCAAGAAGATCCCCTGGAGTAGCAAATGGAAACCCCTTCCAGTATTCTTGCCTGGGAAATCCCATGGACATATGAGCCTGGTGGGCTATAGTCCATAGTGTCACAAAGAGTCAGACATGGCTGAGCACGCACGCATAATGTATGTATGGGCTAGGCCAGATAACTTTTCTTTTTAGTTCAGAGATCTGTATCAAGAGTATATCTTGGTCTGTCATGACTGTTATGAATCATTTCTATCTCCTGGAATCTAAGCTAAAAGTATTGATGAAAAATAAAAGAAAATATTGTTGAGATGTAACTTTAGGGTTGTCTGCTTTGGGGAGTGGATGAGTATGTTCTGCACATAGGAAAGGAAGGAAGTTGACCCAAAGGGTTAACTGTGGTAGACTGTATTATTCTTGTATAATCTGCTCCCCTTAAATGTGGCCTGGACTTAGCTACTTTCTTTTACCTAATAGAACAGAGCAAAAGTGATGGGATACCACTTTTGAGGTTACAAAGAACCTGTGCTTCCCTCTGTGTATCCTCTCTTGCCTTTTAATTTGCTTACTCTGATGGAAGCCAACTGCCATATGAATTGCCCTATGGAGAAGCCCATGTGGCAAGGAAAACAAGGGATTCCTCCACCCAACAGCTCATGAGCAACTGAAACCTGGCTTCAACCACATGAATGAGCTACAGATCCTTCAGAGGAGGGACTTCCCTGGTGGTCCAGTGGCTACTCCATGCTCCCAATGCAGGGGGCCTGGGTTTGATCCCTGGTCAGGGAACTAGATCCCCCATGCCACATTGAACATCCCATGTGCTACTGGGAAGACCTGGCACAGGCAAATAAGTTTAAAAAGTCCTTCAGATGAGACTAGAGTCCTGGCCAACACCTGGATTGCAGCCTATGGGAGACTGTGAAGCAGAGGGACCCCTTGTGGACTGAATTATGTTCCCCGCAAAACCCACATGTCGAAGCCCCAACCCCCAGTGTGACTATATTTGGAGATAGAGCCTATAAAGAGGTAATAAAAGTTAAAAGAGCTTATAAGGTCGGAGGCCTTAATCCAATTGGACTGATGTCCTTATAAGAAGAGGAAGAGATACCAGAGCTCACCCCCACCCCAAACCCACATGTGCTCAGAATGAAGGCCTTGTGTGAACACAGCAGAAAGGCTGCTGCTGCAAGACAGGAAGAGGCCTCACCAGAAACAGCATGTAGATCTTAGACTTTCAGCCTCCAGAACTGTGAGAAAATAAACTTCTGTTGTTTATGCCCCATCCCCACCCCAATCTGTGGTATTTTGTAATGGCAGATCTAGTACCTTAACAATACTATACCCCACTAGGTTGTGTGTGGATTTCTGACTCCCAGGAACTTTGAGATAATAATAACAGTTGTTTTGAGCTGTCAAATTTTAGGATCATTTTCCATGCAGCAATAGATCATTAATATATTAGTCTAATTTTTCTCTCCTTATCCTCTGATTTATGCCTTCAAAAGCTGGGTAGTGGTAGGGCACTGGTGGGGTGCATCCTCTTTGAGCCTTTCAGATTGCAGAGAAAGAAAAAGTCAGTATTCATGGCTAGTAAAGAATCATTCCAATTTTTGAGTCAGTTTCCCAGCAAAGTAAAAAACAACTCTGGTTTGGATTCATATTTCAGTGCAAGTAGTTGAGGAGAGAATAATTTCAATGATTTAGAGTTCATGAATTCCCTGTACATATTTGTATGGATATATATATATTTCTAATTATATTTATATAAACAAATCTATATAGATGAATTGCTGTAATTCTATTATTCCTATAAGGACAGCATTGATATACTGGATCTAGGTGATCTTAATTAAACATTTATTGAAATCAATGTATATTTTCTAGGACTGGACAAAAATAATTTGCTGAGATGTCAGCTGGGAATTCTCCCAGGGAAAGCCTGGAAATGGAGAGCTTCCACACAAGATTCAGTGCCTGGACACCTTTCAGCAACAAGTCATTAAATCGACAGGTGAGTCACATATTCTAGAATAAGATAAGATTAAATTCTAGGGTGACGTTTACTATGATATATTGGGTCTCATGTTACCATATTTAAAATAAATGCTTGTAAGAACTTAGTATTTGAGTCACTTTAAACAGAAATGAACATACATTTGTCTGCCCCAAAGATAATCTCTCTTCACCTCAGTTCACAACTCCAGTTTTATGGAAGGCACAAGACCTGCCCCCACTTTTGTCTTGTTTACACCTCAGGAAACAAAATCGAAACCTCCAGGACACACCCTGATTGCTGTAAGGGTGGTGTTTTGGTGTGGAGGGCATTAGTGTGTGTATTTCTTTAATTCTGTCTTCCCTCTTGTGCCTACTGCACAGTTCCCTGGGGCCTGAGCATTCCCCCTCCTTTGAGAGGTAGTCACTGGATGGCCCAGGCAGCTCTGCCAGGCCTCCATGGAGAAGGCTGCCTGGGTACTCAGAGCTCAAGCGTGGCCCAGGCTTGTTCACAAAATAAAGAGACCAGACAGGCTGGGAGCAAAGCCTGACTAGTAGTAATAGCCGTGAGTTTATGTATGTCATCTAAGCCAACCTGGACTGAGGTCCTGGTTTAGGGGCACACTGGTCCTGGTGTATGTCTTTTGTGGAGACACTCCTAACAAAGGCTACTCAATAATATTTACTAACTTTCATTTTGGTGGGTGTTAGGAAAATGTAGGACTCTGGCTTAGTAAAATCACACCTACTCCACATGGCCCTGTTTTCACAATTAAGCAAGTAGCTGGTATGTATTTTCAAGATGAAATGTTTGGGATCTGTTTCTCCGTACCACACTAGTTTAGGTAGAAACAAGAGCGAAGATTCATTACTTCTTTGCACCCTCCTTGGGCGTCTCTGTAATTACGTTCCCACCTGCCTGCCCAGCAAGCCTGGGCTTGCCTGCATCCCTGAATAAAAAGCAGTTTAAGCTGAAGGGAAAGACCCTTACTACAGTGTGAAAGTGCTTTATGAACTGTAACGTGCAAAGCAAATATTAGCTGTGAGGTTGTTAGGTTGCTTATGTCTTGCTTAGCAACTTAGAATATATTGAACTATAAAGGAAAATGTCATTTCTCCCCCAACTTGTAGCTCTTTCAGGAAAGAGTTGCTCTTATAAGTCACTGGTTTGATCTCTGGACTAACAAGCAACGTCAAGAATTCTTATTCACGATTTTTTTACGATGCACTAAATCACAACTAAGGTAAATGTAGCCTAATGATGTAATTATCTTAAAGAAAATAAATAGTATACATTGCTCATATAACCTTTAAGAGTTTCCCTTTTCCCTAGAGAAAAACAAAACAATTGATATTTTAAGGTTTATAAACAATCTTTTTCTAGTGCTGCTTCCTCTTTGAGTGTGAAATGGAGCCCTGGGGAATTTGAACACCTTCATACCATAGTGGGATATTTGGTTTTTGCAAAAAGTTATAAGTAGCTTCAGCCAGTGAATCTTTAACAATCTCTTAGTATATTAAGTTCTCCTTGAAACTATCAGATAAGGTATTTCAAGTAGATGCCCCAAATATTTGTTACATGAGTGATAATTGTGAAGTCACTCAGTCGTGTCCGACTCTTTGTGACCCCATGGACTATAGCCTACCAGGCGCCTCCATCTATGGGATTTTCCAGGCAAGAATACTGGAGTGGGTTGCCATTTATCTGAGAAGTGACAATGGCAGCAACAATTAGAAATATGGGAAGGACTTGTACAGCAGTGATTACTTATTAACAATAAGTCCTGAGTTTTAATTGTTTCCCTTACATCCTATTATATCTGTAATTTATTTTAAAATACTCCAGCATGGCTGATGTGACATGTGAAAGTGTTCACTGCAATTACACCCAGGGGCAGCTAGTGTTCTAATCAAGAGTTAGTACTTTGGGTTGGTTAGCTAGCCACTGTATTGAAAAGGTTAAAATATTTTAGTTATTACCAGATACATTGCTAAGTAGCATATCAAATATCAGACATTAGTTTTTCTCAGAGCAACTTGTGGCAAAGCTTGCTGGATGAATGCTAGGAATGGCCTGTCTTTGGTGAAATTAAAGGTATTCTGATATGTGGCCTAACCAAGATATTCTAGAGTGCCCTCCGGCATGCCTGGTTGAAGAATCCAGCCAGGCTGGTAGGTGCTTATAAGGATGAATTCATCTCCCAAAATATGGCCTTGTCTGCCTGCGGAATCTCTGAGAGCCTTAGGGCAACAACAAGGGTAGTGATAGAATCCTGTTTCTGGAACATTGTTATCTCTCAGTTGAGTGAACCTTTCACCCAAGGGTCAGAGAGCTGGGATTTCATCAAGCCCACAGAGGAGACTACATGAAGTGGTGAGGTTGGGAGGACCGGCCAACCTTTGGAATTCTTAGGTAGTGACCCAAAAGTGCCTAAGAGTTGTGCAAGACCAAGCTGGCTAATTTTAGTTTCTAGCATCTGCTTCTCGCTCTTTCTTACCCTTCTGCCCGCCCCATTTCTTTCAATCAGCCATTTCCTCTCTTCTGCCTAGGAACTCCCCTTCTCTGCTGCCAGCTTTCTGTGCATCCGTGGGCCCATAATGGGTTATCCCTAAAGGAGTCACTGGAGGGAGACGGCCATCTTCTCCCATTAACAGACTGTGTTGAAAGAGGCTGCAAAAACAGGTCACAGAAAAAGAGGCTCTTCAGTCAATGCTTAAGAATCAGGGGGAAGGGACATTCTTATGGTAGTTATTGGCTAGGTTTCCTTTGGCTCCAGCTTTGCAGCTTTTAAGATAAGAAAATAATAGACCCAACCCTTATATCCATAATTGCTTTGTGAGCCATCACGTTCTAGCCTCATGCACCACAAAGTGAGCAATTTTAGTTGTAACCACTGGAGGTCATTAGTGATCTTGTAGTATACTTTGAGGCTCAATAACATTAGGCCTGACATTGTTTCACTGGAAACTTCATCCATTGTCTGGTACCTGAATTCTTCTTACTCTAGGACAGGGATATAGAACTGACCAGTTCACTGAAATTTCTCTGCTTTGTTGGACAGCAGTTTCTGCAGAGTGTGTATTTCATAGTCCCATGAAGCTGTTATTACATGTTCTGGGCTAGTGATTTCAGGGGAAGCTGCATGTCAATTTCTAGTCTCTGAGTTTGGCATCCTGAAACCAGAATCTTTAATTTGCAGTGGTGATTTTGTTGGTGAACATCAGTCAGTTCATTCCCCACAGTCTGGATGAAGTCTCTCTTATACAACTTCCTCCCATCTTTTTTTGGTCAGTCATTTCTTCTCTCTTACAGACAGCTGTAGATACCACGTGTGGATGGTCTAATCTAATTTGAGCTATGCTTGATTTTAAGTAAATATAAATGACCAACTCATTTTCATTTTTAGCCTAAATATGATAAATTTTAAAGCATCATTATTGAAATGTAATCCACATACATAAAACTTATCCATTAGAAGGACACAATTCAGTGGATTTCGTACATTCCCCGAGTTGGGCAACCATCAGCACAATCTAAGTTTAGAACATATCCATCAACCACAAAAGAAACCTCCTTTCTATTAGCAATCACTCTCCATTCTAACCCCCCTCCAATTCCAGCCAATTCCAATTCCTCCAATTCCATGTACAACCACTAATTTATTTTCTCTATAAATTTGCCTATTCTAAACTTTTCATATGAATGGATTCATACAATATGTGGCCTACTTTCATACAATGACTGCCTACTTTCACAAATTATAATGTTCTCAAGGTTTACATTTTTATCATGAAATAATACTCCATAATATGGATATTCCATATTTTATTTATTCACCAGTTGATGGAATTTGGGTTGTTTCCACATTTGACTACTGTAAATAGTGCTACTGTAAATATCACTTTATAAGTTCTTCTCTATGGATGCTTATTTCTTTTAGGTGTATAGCTAGAAATGGAGTTGCTGAGTCAAATGGTAACCCTAGAATCAACTTTTAACTATTGTTTCTTCTGAATTTTGTTTACTCCTCTAGTCCCTATTCCCCCATAACTATGAATAAGCTTGTGACTAAATGAGAGAATTTAGTGTTATTTGAATGCCTGAACACTTTGTATGTAAGCTTAGTTAACTTTGTGTAATACCTTGTTTTCAAGACAGAGAAGCCAAAGTTTGAGATGCTTTGTTTTATAATTTCTGAATAACTTTGTTTTAATTCAGGCAGTTATAAAACTTAAATAGGCTATTGCAGTATTGGCCAGAAATATGTTGTCACAGTTTTTATTAAAAGTTTATTCTTAATCTGTAGGAGATATATTCACATATCTAATATTTTCTGTCCTAATAAATATTCCATGTTGTTAAGAGTTTGGAATTTTTTTTATAATATTTATGACATTTTTCAAAGGTTCGCCTTCTTAAACCTTCCCTCTGTCAAGTTTTCCCTCTCAACTTAAATGTCACCTCTGCTGGGAAGAGATGTCCTCTTTGTGCTCAACTTTCACCCCATGATTTTCACCAACCTCTTTCATGGCATTTCCCCCAACCTCCCATACATTATGCTTATCTGGCCACATGTCTGGTGATTTCCAGTGGCATTGTCCCCCTGCCTCTTGCCTAGGCTGACCTTTCCTGTGACTCCTTGAAGGAAACTTGGCTGTTTGTGTCTGTCATGCTTGGAGAAACCTATGAGACATTTGAATCAGTCTCCTAGTCACACTGGTGGGACTGGTTTCAAATTGCTTCTGTTCAGCCAAAGGTAATACCTCCTACAAAGACCTTTCTTTCTGGGGTTGGAGCTGTTCAAGCTTGTAGCTTTTCCTGGTGGGTGGGGCAACATTCATGATTCATGTAACTGCATTCCCAAGACTTGAGAGTCACTTGGACTGCAAGGAGATCAAACCAGTCAATCCTAAAGGAAATTAACCCTGAATATTCATTGGAAGGACTGATGCCGAAGCTGAAGTTCCAATACTTTGGCCATCTGATGTTAACAGTTGACTCATTGGAAAAGACCGTGTTACTGGGAAAGATTGAGGACAAGAGGGGTAGGGGGCGACAGAGGATGAGATAGTTGAATGGTATTACCGACTCAATGGACGAGTTTGAGCAAATTCCAGGAGATAGTGAAGGACAGGGAAGCCTGGTGTGCTGCAGTTCATGGGGTCACAAAGAGTCAGACATGACTTAGCTACTGAACAACGACATTCCCAAAACATGGATGGAGTGTGTGTGTGTGTGTGTAGGTTGGGGGGGGAGATCACAACCAAATAAAGATTAGCTCTTGTCACTCATCTCCATCAGAGTCACCTGGAAATGGGGTTGGAGGGCAGAAAAATGTACCAACCCATGTATAGTTAAGAGGGAACATCCCCTCTTACTCTCATCTCAGTACACCCACCCACCCCCCACCCAAGGAGTTCCTTGGAGGACTCAGTTGAGGATGTCTGTTTCTATTGTAATCTCTGAGGAAATCTAGTTCATAAACTTTTTCAGAGACAACAGACTTCTAGATTATCCTTAAATATAGAACAACTATACCATGCTGAATTACTGCCGTCCATTTGAAAGGAGGATATTTCTGTGTGGAGTTGGTGGAGAGGAGGGGGTAGTATTCAGAGACACATTGTTTTCTAAATATCCAAGACAGGTCTGGAAATGTGGGTCATCCTGCTTCTTCCCTCTCATCAGCTTCATATTCTGGATATACTGGGTTGGCCAAAAAGTTTGTTTTGAAAACCCAAATGAACTTTTTGGCCAATCCAATATTTCTACCCTTTCACATAGATCAAATGGTTATGGACAACCACAGGAAATATCAGTATTTGTTTTGGGGGTGGCTTTTAGGGGTGGATGAAACAAAGAAAGAAAATCCTGAAGTTTAAAAGGAAAGGAGAATATGAACTATATAGTATATGGCCTATACAGTCCATGGAATTCTCCAAGCCAGAATATTGGAGTGGGTAGCTGTTCCCTTCTCCACAGGATCTTCCCAACCCAGGAATCAAATCTAGGTCTCCCGGTACTGCAGGCAGATTCTTTACCAGCTGAGCCACCAGGGAAGCCCAGGAATACTGAAGTAAGTAGCCTATCCCTTCTCCAGGGAATCTTCCCAGTCCAGGAATCGAACTGGGGTCTCCTGCATTGCAGGTGAATTTTTTTTTTTTTTAAACAAGCTGAGCTACCAGGGAATCCCTCAAGAAAGAAAATCCTGAAGTTTAAAAGGAAAGGAGAAACCTAAACCCA